AAAAGAAAATTTATTGATTATGGAAATGATAAAACATTAACACAAGTTATTATCAGACTAGTGTTCCATGTTGCAACCCAAAAAAGGAAACAAAATGGTCGTAAAGATGGTTGCAATCATTTTTATATGACACAAAGATGGTAGCAACCATCATCAAAAGTTGCAGCCGGTATCCTTATATCAGACATCAAATTCTGATTTTTTTTTTCCTTTCCATTCATATATAAAAGATAGAAGAAAAGGGTGTATTTCAATGCCTAATATTTTAGGATTAAGCAATCCAGAAAATTAAGGGCTGCTGTAATTCAAAGATACCCCGATACTTTTATAAATTTCACAGATAAAAGAATTCTTGGAGTTGAAAAAAAGAACAAATCTATACAAAATCAAATGAAAAGAAAAGGAGAAAAGATTGTGAAAGGGTTAACAAAAAATATAAATGTGCAAAGGAAAATGTAACAAGAGCTTGTGAATCCACAAGCATGTGGATGAACAATTAATAGAACAAAATGATATTAATGATGTTGTAAAACAAGCAATAAACAACAACAATCTTGGCTTTAATATTTTCACTAACACACAACAATACCTTACTTTTCTTTTTTGGACTACCCTGCATTAATTGTGAAGATAAATTTAAAAATAACAAAAGATATGAAATATTCAATGTTGGTTTTTCTCTGAGAATAACAATTAGGTGCCTTATGTGTGATAGCATTGCTGAATATTCTGATGAACCTCTTAATTCAGGTTTTAATTTGTTAGCTACAGGCTCAAAAACATTTCATAACAATCAGAAAAGATTTTTCCAAACTTTGACTACAAAAGCAGAGGATGGTGTAAAAGACACTAATGGAATGTATAAATCACATCAAATCTCTTGATCAGAATATCATTTCTGCTAGTTTTGGCACTTCATGGTCACATATAAGGAATGCAAATCAAACTAGTGGAGAATTTATTTTTTATTAGATTAAGAAATAAAATAACAGAGAAATAAACTTGTAATATACTTACCTGATTTATAGATTAAAATCACAAGCCAGTTATTGCCTATCATGTTGTTGAAAAATCCAGAATCATCAGGAATGAAACTGGGGATTCTAAGACCCTTCACCAAGGAGATTATTGTAAAGCATTATTTTGTGAAAATCCATGATATTTTCTATTATTATTATTATTTCTTCTGGAAGAAAATAAAGGAAATAATTTTTTATTAGATATCGAAATTACTTGAGGGTAATAATAATAATAATAGAAAATATCGTAATTATACTT